AAACATGATTTTAAAAAATTAATATTGCTAGTAGATAGAGCTCTTTATGAGCTACAAGAATACATATAATAAGTGCCTCTTCCACTCAATATTTGTTTAAAATATAACTTCAAGGCTATGTCCACTAGTGGACATAGGGACTCTATCGGTTAAGACAACATTTTCAAAAATGTTGTGGAACATTGAAAGTGATCTCGCTGTGTAGTCAGCCATACCGTCCCCCACAATGGACTAAGTTCAACTAAAAATTAAAACTCTTTCAAAAAAGGGAGTGCTACCATTAGATGACCACAGTACAACTTACTACACTACTCGGAAAAGGCAAAATTCTTTCTTCTCTCACTTTTCAGCGGAATAATGTGTATTTCTATCTTAGCCGACTACTTTAGGTTTTGTCGAATTGTCACGTTGAAAAATTATCTAGATTTTCAACAAAAATGAAAATCAAGTAAAGATTTTGAAATATACACCATTCGACTCAGTTTTTGATTCTGATGCTGAATATGATATTTTATAGCATAAAAGTTGAGTTCTGATGGAGAAAATTGAGAATTACGAGCAGAATTCTGACTTTTCGCCTCAGATTTGGAAAAAATGAATTTTCTCTGCATAGCAAAAAAAGAAGGAAAGAGCTATATATACTTCCTTGTAGTGCAAGCGGATATCAGGCTCGAGCATTTCTTTTCGCAATAAATCATCACTTTCTTGTTATTGCCACTCTGATGAATAGCATGAGATGGCATTATTTCTTCATCAAAACAAACTAGATCGGTTTACAAGAGAGGCATGTACCATTTTCAATGGTCTAATTCTCAAAGCTACGCTCAATCGAATTTTTGAGTTTGAATTCAATTAAACATCGTTTTTATATTCAGTTTTTAATGCGCAATCCGAAAAATATAGTTTAAAAGGTTTAAAATAACTGTGAACCGAAAAACTGTGAATTTTTTTGAAAATGAACTGTTTTTCGAAAAAATGGGCTCTTCAAGTATTTCAAATTTTCGACCGTAAAAGAAGGTTTCAAAAAACACTCTTTCTCACTCAACTCATCGCGCTCTGTCCAATCATATATGAATTAATTAATCAGAAAAACAGTTTTACTTGAAGGTCGAATTGCTGTCACCTTGTGAAACTACTGCTGGTGTTGTGCCTCTATATTTGCCGAAATAAAGAAAGTACATTACATGTTCTAGTTTGAGATATAGTCTTCGTGAAGATTTCTTCTAATCGCATAGAAGAAGATTAATTTTGTTGTGGTAATTGTTGATTAATCGCTTTTTTCAACTCATCTTCATTCGTATTTGTTAGTCGGGCAACTTCTTTATTATTTTGGAATAAGATGTATGTTGGCACATTTTGAATGTTATATTCGGTTTTAAAACGATTTTCTTTATGTTGAACATTACATTTAACAAACAAGACACGATTACTATACTCCGTTATCCATTGTCTGATACTATTTTCAACGAAATCACGACGCTCAGGATACCTGTCAATGTACAAATAAACAAAATGATTTGATTATTAAGCAATGAATGTATTAACTATACCGTAGACTAAATTGAATAACAATAAGCTTTTGTTCATTATCATTTAAATATTTTTTTAAATCGTCCACAGTATTAATTTCGTTCAAGGACACTGTAGCCATTTGTTGTGCTTCAAAAATGTAAAATGACAATAATAAACTAAAAAGAAAAAGAAAAAGAAAAGAGAAGTGTCGCCTGAAGATAAGAAATAAAAGAAAAACGAAAGTTTTATATATTTACTCGTTTAGAAGAGTCGTCGGAAGGTGATACTATGGCGTTTTTTTTGAAAGGTGAGAAAGGAAGAAAAAAATTCATAGAAACACTGGCAACAAACGCAAGTTACAATAAATAAGCTACTATGAACAATGAAATAAAGCTTAATAAAATCTCTCAGGTTATGCCAGAGAACGGATGGTTGGATGGAATAAAAATTTTAATTGAACAGAATAAGTTGGACGGAGTAACGTGTAATGTTTACAGTATTAGAGATCGTCAAAGTAAAGATTCGTCGAAATGTGGTTGCAATCGGCTGATTAGAAATCACAGTTTCACTGACTCCAAGCAACCGTTAGCAGATGGTACTGAATGGAATACATTTAATAATACCGCTTCAGTACCCATCAACACCTACGGATTATTGTATGATAGACTTCGGGTATGTACCATTTCAAACAATAATATGATTTTCTAAAGGCATCTGGTCAACAGTAGTCCATTAATCAAGATTATACCGCATGTGACTGAAGCTTCTTGAGTCTCTCTACTCTCATACTATCTTGTACTGAATTCTTATGCATAGTTTATCCGTTGCGCCACTGGATCAGTTGATTTTTCCGCGTTGTACACTTTGATAACGAATGATTGTAACCAGACTCCACGGTTAATTCTAAGTTGTTACGGTGGTGCCAAATACTTTACAATGAACAAACGGTTGGAAAATGAATTCTTGAAAGGAATTGCAGAAGCAGCTGTGACACCAGGTTTTTGAACTAAAATCTTCTTTTTCGTTTGTGGTGATATACTTTTGTCTTTGATTGAATAGGTACGTGGTTACTGACAACCGGTCTGAATAGTGGTGTATCGAAATTGATTGGCGAAGGTATAGCAAGAGCTAATCTGGTACGAGATAATCCGAAGAAAACGACGGTAATCGGTCTCACGAAATGGGGCACAATCACAGAGGAAACACGAGCTAAGTTAAAAGAGAGTTCAAGAGAGCAAATTCCAGTAAGCTCAGACTTTTAACAGCGTTTCAAAACTCAATACTATGCGTTTCCTTTAGCTACCGAGACAACTTACGACGGCAGCGCTCACAAAGCAAGATTTGGATTTTACCGATAGCGATATTGAGTCATTAGAATTGAATCACACTCATCTTATTCTTCTTGATAATGGACGGAACAGTGGTTATCTCACAGATAATGAACGAAACGATTTTGTCAGTGAGATAAAAGAAAACGCGAAATGTAAGATAAATATCTGATTGTGTAGTTCTTGGCTGACTGTAGTTCTTTCTTGTAGGTCATGCTGTTACTCTAATTGTCGAAGGTGGTATTCATACATGTGAAGTGATCTACAATGATTTATACAAACAACGTCCTGTTATCATTATCAAAGTGAGCGTGTGCTTGAGATTTTACAATTCTCAATTGAGATACTGTTACCTAGTAGGGAAGTGGACGAATGGCTGATGTCATTGGAAATCTAATGAGTTCTAGTCCAGGGTGAGTAATTCATCCATGAAAATGAATATTTGTCATTCACTATATATATATATAGATCACCAAGTGAAGAGCAGATATTAAATCAATTAAATACAGCCTTTCGTAAATGGTGTCAATCGACTAATGAACAAAAGCAGACAGAGAAGAGGAAAATTGTTAAACAAATTTCATCGATCTTAGACGCAAAATATCGACAATATTTGAAAATCTATCATCTTGACAGTAAGATTAGTTTAACTGAAACAATATTTAGTTCAATGTCCGAGGAAACAGAACAATCATTAGGTGAAACGAATGCGGAAGTGGAAGATGACAAGGAAAGAGAACGAGAAACGAATTTATTAAAATTAGCTATCGAGTGGAATTGTTTAAAAAATGTAAAAGACATCCTTGAAGATAAACAACATCAACATGGTATAAAGGTAGTCTTTACTTTACATTTTGTGACCTTGCTGCATTTACGTCACATATGCAAGGTGACTGCTCCCGAAAGGGATATTGCTTAAGTAAATATGAATCAGAAGATGATGGTGAGACCCATAGTCATATACCGCTACATCCCGCTTCATCTCTCATATCGTAAGCTACATTCGCCAGTACTCCTTGAACTACTTGAAGCTATATTTCATTGCAGGATAACCATTTCTAGACTTTCATTTAGCTGTATTTTTAGGATCGAAAATTGTATTCTCAATTATTCGAACAATCATTATTGAAAAATCGGCCACTTTTCATAGATTACATACTTCGCTTGAATTTTGATCCCCTTGAAACATATGAATACATCGAATTGAAACAATCATCAGTGGAAGAAAAACGCGAAGCTAACAAAATACTTAAACAATACAGGATGCCAAACCAGAATGACATCTTAATTCCTCTTATCCAGGCAGTGAATACAACGAATGAAAATGGAGGGCAACGAGCCAGTGTGAAATTGCAACTAGAAAACCAGCAAGATTCTAATGCATTTAGAGCAATATATGCTCAACTATTTATTTTACGCTTATACAAACAAAGTCTTGAGGTAAACTGTGTTTTAACCGTGTCCTAATGAACTTATTACTGAGATTTGTTTTCGCCGTTAGGCTGATAGTCGAAATACGGTTAACATACCAACTACGATCAATGAATTAGACGAAGAGTATTCAAACTGGATTGGTCCATATATGTGTTCAGTTTTTGGTTTAAAAACTACTTACGAACGATTTCGAAACGATCTTAATTTTTATACATCAAAACTGAATGGTAAAAAAGCAACTGTCACACCGATAGACAATCCGCCCGAACCTACTCCGTCCCTTGTGGATTCATTGGGGATCAATATAGAAAAATGTTCATTAAACGTCCAGTATGATCGTGATGAAATGCTTAGGGATGTCTTTCTTTGGTGTATCTTTATGCAATATACCGATATGGCCAAAGTTCTTCTCATTCATCTTCAATCAACAAGAATATCCGCGTCATTAATCGCATCCACTATATTGAAAAATCAATCAAACAATTGTACAAACAACGATGATAAACATACGATGAGACAACACGCAGAGGAATTCGAGTTGTATGCCGTTCAATGCATCGATCTTTGTTATAAACAAATTGAAAAACAAGCTTGCGAATTATTAATTAGAGAAATACCATTGTTCGGAAATATCACTTGCATGCAGGTATTATTGTTTTCTTATCTACTACTCAGTCATTTTGGAGAGAAATATATATTTATAGGTTGCTATTGCCGCACAATGTAAATCCTTTATCCGAACGAATTGTTTCAATCAAGTTCTAAATCGTGTGTGGTACTATAAATTAGATCATTCAAATCGATATTTCTCAGCTAAACCAAAAATATTTATTGCAATAATAACATTGGGTTTAGCTGCACCACTACTCATCGATTATCGATTTAAAGAGAAGCAATATAATAAAGTAAAAGACGCTTTTATATTTTAATGTATATGATTTCTGCATTTATCCTCCTACAGGATAATTTGAAACTTCAATCAAATGAAAAAATCCGACGTGGTATCAATTATTACACAAATTATAAGCCAAATGAACCAATAACGTCGAATACGTATTTTAAACAAGTTAAACATTTTCATCAATGTCCAATGATCAAGATGTTTTACAGTTTCGTAAGTAGTTGTGTGTTAGTAGCCCTCTCCCTCTCCCCCAGAATTGAAGACCACCCGCTGTATAAGACCATGTCTGGGAATATTTTTAAATGCCCTATTAGAAGGCCATACATTTATTAATTAATATTTTAATAGTGGGTATTTCGTGTCCATAATATAAGATAGTTGTGCGTTGTATCGTTCAGTTTCTGTATGTATGGCTTTTACTCGTGTTCAGTTATATGATGTTATATCATTTCGATTCACTTGATCAATCACCACATCTACACTGGACTGAAATTTATGTTATTATAACCGTGTCGACTATGCTTATAGAAAATGTTTGTCAAGTAATTTCATATCATATATTCACATATTTGTCCTCTCCATAGTATTTTACTTTGTAAATTAGTTTATATTCGAATACCATACACAAATGTTAGAACGATGGCATCGTTCCGGCTCATCTTTAACTAATAGCATCTATATTGTGCCATATTTCTTGTTTTATTTGGCTCTACTTTTACAACTCCGTTTTGGCTCAAATCCAGCTGTGCTAACAACGGCCAGGTATTTAGATATTTCATATACACTTTTTATTTATTTACGTGTTATAATCGATTTTAGAATTATTATGGCATTTGACTTAGAACTATGGTTTTTACTCTCTCTTAAATTCGTTAGTGCTGTTAAACTACTTGGTCCAAAAATATTTATGATGAGAAACATGGTTCGTGTTCTATTCTTAAAATCTAGGCTGATTAACGTGCAACTCTTCCTCTAGTAGATTCGTGATTTGTCCGGCTTTCTCTATGTCATATTTGTCTGCATAGCTGCTTATGGAATTGTTTCACGTTCAATGTTTATGTATAAACAAGTTAAATTTACTGGAAAAGGTATTTTTGAAAATATATTCTATCCGTCCTACTGGTTTCTGTTCGGAATCGTTGACAATGAGAAAGCACAATTAGATGGTAAGTATTTTTTTGAAATATACTTTTCTTAGCTTTCATGCGTAAATATTGCGTTTAAAGATATCATCAACGGTACTGACTCTGATACAAATTCAGCTACAGATTATGTAGCTGGTGCAACAGCTGTACAGGTTCTGTTAGCACTTCAAATGCTATTCATGAATATTCTTCTGTTAAACTTGTTGATCGCTGTCTTTTCGTAAGTTTTATCAAAGTTTTCAGATTAAATTGAAAGCCAACTTGCTTTTGATTTCACTAGTTCAACAATCAATAAAGCGGCGGAAAATACCGAATATTTTTGGCAATATCAACGATACACATTCATACGGGAATATTTTGAAAAACCTGTTTTTTCGTACCCACCATTCACAGTATTCACCTATTGTTTTTTATTGATTATGTACGTGTGTAAAAAGCGATCACAAATGAAAATATTTAGTAAGTAAATATGTCAATGAAATTGTTAGAGGAGAGTAAATTTATTGTATTATATTCTGTGTTAGAAATGATTTCTCGAAGTGAAACAGTTGACGATAAAAAATGGAATGATTTTGAAAATGCTTGTACATACAATTATGCTAGAGCAGCTATTGAATCTACAACTCCAAATACACTTACAACCAATGTGCAGAAAGATATTGAGAAGCTGAAAATGGATCGTGATCGAATGCAAATGACAATGAACAAGATCAGAGACCAAACACAAGAGGTATTCCTTGATATCTACTATATGGTTAAGATTGTTTTACGATTCTTGTATATGCATAGCTAATGGTCGGTATGGAATGGATAGTACAGGCATTGGATAGAGTTAAAATGTCATCTTCGCGTCATCCAAGACCAAAATTTGCAACAACAAATCAATAATCGGCTCTTAATCCACGTTGTTCATTAACCCCATAGGAAAAATACATCTACTTTTTTTTACAACAAAGTTAATTTTCTCTTGTTCTTATCCTTTACATGTGTTTTTTTTCATCAGCTATTTTTATTTTCAAGTGCTATTGAAGATAGACGTAACAACAGAAGGAGATTTTTATTATGTTGTATTGCACGGCAACACAAAAGATAAAGCTTTGCGACCGATTTCAATGGCTGCAATTAGTACTGGGTGATAAGGAAAATTTGTATAACTTGGTCAAAATCAACCATTTGGCTTTTCTTATCTTAAAGCAAAATAATTCTTCTATTATATTCCAATGCAAAAAGTTCAATAGCTTCATTTCTTTTTCTATGACATGTCGAAAGAGTCAGACCTTTCCTCTTTTCGGTGAATTTTACTATTATCGTCTTTCGTGTCCGATGAAAACGTTTAAATCGAATATATGGCACATGAAAAGCAAGACTATACTCGGAAGTATTAGAACATACGGTTTTTCTACATACAGGCAGTGTGAGAGTGAGTTCGAAAAGTAGTTTCACAGGAAACATATTTTCATGGTACGAAACTGTATTTCTGTAACTGTATCAGATAATGACTATTCACGACATAACTTCACTGAGGTGTCAAAACATGATGTACAAAATACGAAACCACGCTCATTTATTTTTATTTTCCAATGAACTAGTCTTTACGGTAACGTCGGTGTATCTTTCTATTATGTTACAACGTGATAACTTTAGAAAAACCATGTCTCTAATGCATTGTCATTAGCGCAATGCATTACGTGAAAAAAGTCGCCAAAAATTGAAATTATAGTGTTATGATGCCTTTTTATCAACGACTTTCTCCTATTTTATACTGTTACAACGCTATAAAGTCGACTAATGCGTTAATATTTTGTATGTCGTTACAAGGCGTCGCAAAATGTCTATCGCATAATAACGCATTAATCTGTAATGCGTTACAGTGGGTTGAACACGTTCTAACTCATTTTAGGGCTAAAGATGTTTCTAACATGTTTTAACGACATAAAACGGACATCCAACAATTAAGCAATCGATTAAATCATTTTGAACAATACGATCGTCAAGTCAGCCTACGAATATTCGGTGGAAATGAAACTTTAAAAGAAAATACATTAAGAGACGTTTTACTAGCCCAGCGAGAAAAGCTGTCAAGTTAAATGTTTTACCTGTAGTATTTTTCTATTTTTGGATTCTATGATCAAAACTGAGGTTATGAAAAAATTTTCAGGTTGTTTGGACTTGATTTCGCCGAGTTATAGAATTTACAAAATTAGGTGTATCGAAGATTGTCCAAAAAAAGTGACCTCCGTGATCAGACATTTCTTCTTCCTCGGCCTCTTCGTCACTAGTTTCTTCATTTTCACTATCATCATTATCCGTAGTATTCTTTGGCTGTGTGCTTTTTGTAGTAGCACTAGTTACTTTCTTCGCCCCCACACTAATATGCTATGATAAACCTCGCTTGGCGAGAAAATCCTCCTGCGACTCCATGTATTTTTCCGGAAGCCATTTAATCGCCCAATCTGTTGGATATAAACTGAATTAGCGGTCAGATCGTGCAGCAGTTCTTGTCTTGACAGGTCCTGATTCACAGCTCGCAGCTGATGACATTTCCATGCCTCAATGGCATTCGTACTCATTTTAAGTTTAGCCAATTCACGAAAAATGAGAGTATAATTACTTTGATGGTAATAATTGCAAGCAATTTTTCAACATGTTCCTGAGGTCGTGAAAGAAAGTTGTATAACTCATTTTGTAGAGAATTGCACGCTCTACAAAACGTACTAACTTACATTTTGAGGAAGATCTGCTGGGCGGAGAAAAATAAAGTTTATTGACAAAATTTTGTTTTTAAAATTACTAATTTTTCAAATGGTAGGCTTCTGAAAAATCTAGTTTCCGTTCGAAAAATTTTAAAAACACATGAGTTTGTTCTCTTTTTGGTGGACTTTCAAATGAGACGTCGTTCGAATAGAACGAATAAAATTTGACGAAGCTATAGGCAAAGTATCACGCAGGTCACTTTTTTGAATATCTTCGATACACCTAATTTTGTAAATTCTATAACTCCGGCGAAATCAAGTCCAAACAACCTGAAAATTTTTTCATAACCTCAGTTTTGATCATAGAATCCAAAAATAGAAAAATACTATAGGTAAAAAATTTAACTTGACAGCTTTTCTCGCTGGGCTAGTAAAACGTCTCTTAATGTATTTTCTTTTAAAGTTTCATTTCCACCGAATATTCGTAGGCTGACTTGACGATCGTATTGTTCAAAATGATTTAATCGATTGCTTAATTGTTGGATGTCCGTTTTCAATTTCAAGACTAAATCATTCATTGTCGACTCATGCTGACGTAGTCAGTTCTTATGCACTACCCTCGTCGTCATCAGACATTCAGAACTTACGCATTTAACTGTCGATGGTAGCCTTCTACGTGATTATTTGTACGTGGTCTTTCCTCTATTAAATCAAAATGATTCCGCTTTTCTATAGGAAACCTCGCATGTTCAATATAATTTTCTCAACATATAATCTGTTATTTTTTAAAACTTATTATCTAAATTACTAAGTTCTTCAATTATATCTACAAATAATCCAATCACATCATCCGGTGGCATCAATGGTAAACTCAGAATATTGGCTAACTGTTGACGTATCTGTTTGACTTTATATACGTTTACCAATCCTAGAAAAGACCAGACTGATTCAAACGGTCCTTATTATACTTGTCATGCTGCACGGCTTACCATACTTCTGAATTCGTTTCCAGATATTTTGTCCAAAATGGAAATGATATAATTTAACATCAATACCTGGGAAGACAGCTTCAAATGCATCAAGTTCGTCTTGTTCAAAATCAATGAGAACTGATCTTGGAACTAATGTCACACTTAAGCTATCGGCATATCAAACGAATGATCGAACTAATTCTTCGTACAATTTACCAAATTTATTTGGCATTGCGGCAAAAGCTAGTGGTTTCATGCTCAAGTCATTCCAAGCATGGATACTATACGATTGACCAAACATTTTGGGAGCAGTCCGAAATGTTCTATCGGCGCTCCAATGTTCACATGATCCTGGAGAAAGTAAGTGCTCACAAATCTACCTGCCTGCAATATCATCTAAACTTTTACCTAGAAATCGAATTGCATCTGGAGAAGCAAAATCTAAAATTTTGTCATTTCCTGGTATATCACAAAATAAAAAAGATTGTCCCCCATTGATGTTATTTTTAAAGGTGGAGGAACAACAATTGAAGATATTGATTTTGGCAGCGGTGGCAGAACTGACTGTCTTTTACGATATGCTGTTGGACGAATATAATCAAAAATCGGCACTGCAGAAGCTGTTCTATACTGTCGCCTCTAAATAGCAGCACATATATCCGCTCTTAACCGGACTAGTGCAAACAGAATTTTAACTTACAAATTTTATAACTTCATCATCACAAATTTGTTGAATCGGTATTTTGGGATCTTCAACAGCTTTAGGCTTAACATCAGATATAACTCGATCAACATGCGCCGAAAATTGTGTGTTTTTATGTGCATGGATACCCTTTAAACACATTATTTTGTCATTTTTTAAAACAATTGAACAAGAACAATCATTAACCGTACAAACCCATCTTTCACTTCCATTTTTATTCGTACGTTTGTGACCAAAAAGATTTTCTTGAAATAATATGGCAGGAGCTCCTCTTTGAGTTTCTTTTCGAACCCAATACTGTATTATAACCATTCTTTCGAACAATTCGCGAAAGGTTTTTTAGCTGTTTCACAACTTTTAAAGAAAAAAGGTCCATCTCCTTTTCGAACTACTTCTCTGACGACATCAGTAAGAACAACTACGATTACTTTATCGGCTGTGGAAATCAGGCAGAAAATGCTCGATTTTTAATGAATATTTTTCTAAAAAAAATAGAATTTGAAATGATGTTCGTCGATACGAGCAGAATGCAATGGGGGAAATAGTGGATTCCTGGATTCCTGGACTCCATTAAACTCCATGGACTTCATTAGACTCCTGAAGTCTAGAGTTCGTAGAAGTGTTGCTATTGTATGAAAACCTATTACTGTATCAGCAATTAATACAACATCTATAACATTGGCTATAGTTCCTTTATTATGACTCGTTTGTTTCCAGTCTTGCAAAGCCTTTAAGTTTATCTTTCTCAATATATATTTTTGATCATAATTAATGAACAAACAAATAAAATATCGGAATGGCTATTGGCACTCCCGGGAGTGTCAACAAGGAGCTATTGGTACTCCCAGCAAGTGTTTGGGAGTGTCAACAAGGAGCTATTGGCACTCCCAGGAGTGGCAACTAGGAGCTATTTCCGTCGCCAGGCAAACTTAGTGTAAAAGCTATGTCGGAA